ATTATTACAGACGTTCCTCTGCATTATTACAGACGTTCCTCTGTATTATTACAGAGGTTCCTCTGCATTATTACAGACGTTCCTCTGCATTATTACAGCCACTTGCATGCATGCTTTGCCTGCCTGGATCTTACACCCTGCCCTTGAGTTGGACTGTCTTAGGGGCATCTTTGCCCAGCCTACATCCTGGGTCTTGTCTGATGTGGTACACCCCAAACTCTATTGCTCCTGTGACAAGGGCCTGTTTTTGTGCTGCTGCGATTCGTGTCTCTATGCTATCCTTCAGTCCAGTCCTCTCCAGCCACTGGTAGGATCTATTGATCTCAGCCACCGCCTCAATCTGCTGGTGGTACATGCCATGCAGGAGCTTATCTTTCCATGATGGCTCCTCTTGTTCCTCCTCTTTCACATAATTTTTCTGTTGCTTTTGACTTGACATTCTGTCACCAGTTCATCTTTGGAGGTTTTCTTCCTCACGTACTCCAGGATCAGAGTTTTTCATTCTGTATAATAAAGTAAAGTGCTATGTGTTGTCATCATTGTATGTTCCCGTACAATGATGACATTGGTTCTCTGATTTTAACCCACCACACCTGAGATACTCCCAGGTGGAGCAGTGGGCAGCTATGTAAGCTTCCGGGGAGCAATTAGATGTCTTGCTCAGAGGCACCACGACATGTGGGCATGACTGGGAGTTGAACCTGTGACTTTCTGGTCCCAAGTTAGCACCCTACGTCTACACTATCTCGGCCTCTAATAATGACCATATACGAACCCTTTCTAAAAAAAGATTGAATATCATGGAAAAGTTGTTTAACTTCCATAATTCCATTCAACAAGTTAATCTTTAATAGATTCAGGGCCCTCAATTTAAACTATTTCAAGTATTTATTTGTTTATTTTTACATAATTTGGGCTTCCAGCTCATGAAACCCATGAAAACAGGATTTCAAAACCATAGAATCCTGTGGAGACATCAGCCCAAATGTTGCAGGACATGAATGTTTTAAACTGAGTGTGACACTAATCATCTACTAAACTCAAAGCACCTGCACAGGTTTCCCCAGGTGTCATTAAATTGCTTCAGCTTGTTTCAATTGTCTCAGTTTGGATCAATATGGAGAAGACTGCAGACATAACAACTGGCCAGAAGACCATCATTGATGCCCTCCATAGGATGGGTAAGACACAAAAGTTCACAGCTAAGGAGGCTGGCTGTTCACAGAGTGCTGTGTCCAAACATATCAATGGAAAGTAGTGGAAGGACAAAATGTGGCAGGAGAAGATGCACCAGCAACAGTGATGACCATGGGCTTCAGCAGATCATCAAACAGAGAAGATCCAGAATCTGTCAGAGATCCAGAAAGAGTGGAATGAGGCGGAGTCACAGCTTCAAAAACTACCACATTCAGACGCATCCTGGAGATGGACTACAACTGTCGGGTTCCTCGGTCCTCTTTTCTGATGAAAGTAAAGTGTGTCTTTCAGAAATCAAGGTCCAAGGGTTTGGAGGAAGAAGGGTGATGAGGAACAGAACCCATACTGGTTGAGGTCCAGTGTGAAATATCCACAGTCAGTCATGATCTGGGTGCAGTGTCCGGTGCAGGTGTTGGTAAACTCTGCTTTCTTAAATCCAAGGTCACTGCAACAGTCTACCAGAATGTTTTAGAGGACTTCATGATTCCTTCTGCTGAGGATCTGTATGGAGATGCAGATTTCATCTTCCAGCAGGACCTGGTCCCTGCTCATGCTGCCAGAAGCACCAGAACCTGGTTTGATGCCACAGCGCTTGACTGGTCAGCCAACTGGACGGACCTGAACCCATTGAGAATCTATGGGGTGTTCTCAAGAGGAACACGAGGGACACCAGACCAACAACAAAGATCTGACAGCATCAAGGACATCTGGGCTTCCATAACTCCAGTCAGTGCCACAGGATGATTGACTCAATGACACGTCTCATCGAGGCAGACATTAAGACAAAGGGATTCACAACCAACTATTGAAGATTTTTTAATTTTAGATTAAAATTTAAATTTAAACTTTTAAATCCTGTTTTTGTGGGTTTCATGAGCTGGAAGCCCAAATTATGTAAAAATAAACAAATAAATACTTGAAATAGTTTAAATTGTGGGCCCTGAATTTATCATCTATTAAAGATTAACTTTTTGAATGTAATTATGAAAGTTAAACAACTTTTTCATGATATTCTAATTTTTTGGAAAGGGTCTTTAGTTTATATTTGTTAAATGTAAATGATAAATCAGAACTTTAGTCAAATTATTGCTATTTTTCATTATTTTTAATTGCAGAAGTTCAGTCTGAACTATTATGCAATAAATTAGGCCAGTTTTGTTTGAATACTTTCTACTACTGTTTTTCTGAATTCCTTGGCTCGAGCAACATCCTGAAGCTCCTGGGTGTCTGCACCTGTGACCCTTCTGTCCCCACAAGTGGCTCCTTGAAACTTGGACCAGAAATGACATTAACATGAGTGACGTTGATATTTAACTAGACGATCAATAAATGTGTTTAGCAGTTTTCCTGTCCACATTTTTTAAGTGTGCTGCACAGAATATCTGCAGCAGAATCTCTTAAAATACAGAAGATTTCAGCTGCTTGGATGAGCTCCATTTTATTAGAACATGTGACTTTAGTTTTCACAAAAACATGTTTGAAATGCAGCTATCGGTTTAATAATAATCCGTTAGCTTCCTCCCTACTTGGTTTATTCAACCTTCTAACGCTGATTCTCCAAATCCACAAAAAACAATCATAACATCCCTTAGGCAAATGAAAATGTAGCTTTGCACATTTACTGGATTTAATAGACATTATGAAGACATGTGTAACCTTGTGTTTTACTAAATCTCTGTGTACCAAAACTTAACAGATTAAATTCAACATAAACTGAAGTATCCAGTAATGCTCAGTCAGGTCATGTGGACAGTTTCTTTTTTGTGGAAAGACGTTTCGCCCTAAACAAAAAACTGTAGTACACAAAGAGACGGTGAAGGAACTTGACAAATAATTTGGTCCTAATTTAAGGGTCGGTCATGTTTAGTGGCTCTAAACATTAACTGGTAGAAGAGCTCGTAGCAATGTCTCTTTCAGTGGTAGATGTTGTAGATCACTGTTCTGGGAGAAAGATTACGGATTATTATTAATTTGTGGTCATTTGTGTTTTAATTCACAAAACCAGCCTCAGGATGGCGCTACAGGCCGGTGCTGACAGCTGAGCATAATGAGTGCAGAAAACAAATGATCACCAAGTATTGATTACTGAGATGAAAACGGTACCTAAAGATTGTGACTTTTCCCAGGTGGAGGATGATGAAAAGCTGAAAAAGAGAAAGGAGAGGTTTGGGATCCTCACAGGGTCGTCAGCAGGAGCAGCTGACACTGAGGTAGAGTTTCATGTTCGTTTCATTTTAGTCACAACAAAAATAAAGACTCCCTGATGTCATCACTGGTTTGGTCTCGTTTGTCTCTGCAGGCAAAGAAAATGAAGCGAGCTGAACGATTTGGAAAAGTGTAAATGGTGATGAAGTTTGTTGTTGTGAAGAGTTTTCAAGGCTGTGGGAGGTTTTCATCTTTCTGTGGGAACACAATGTTAGTCCCGTGGTTCTTGGGGATCAAAAGTACATTTAAATCTGAAGTTAAGTGTTTGGCTGTGGGAAAAGTTCAAGAATTATACAAAAATAATCCCTTAAATACTGAGTTAATCATGAGATCTACCACCAGTTTCTGTGTTTTAAAACAGTTTTCGGTGAGGTCCTCAAACAGGTTGTTTACTTGTTGTTTTCTCTTCGGGACTTTTATGGTACAACTTTTAATTTTAAGGACGTTTCTTCTAAGAAATCTGCTTTCTTTCATTTCCAAAACCAATGTTTTATAATGACTTTGTCCTGCTTCCTTGTAAAACAATAAATCTGTATATTAGAAGTGATTGATTTATTAAGCAATAATCAATATTAAGAGGTTGAGTAACAAAATAAATGTCAGGTTTTTTAATTAGCTCTAATCCAGACAGCAGTCCTGTGTTTAATTGTACTTTTGAGTAATTCTGCAGCCTTTTAATTACTAGTTTTATTTTGAGGTTATTTCCTATAACACTGCGTCAGGTTATCTGTTCGTTTTATAACTTTTTGTGAATTAAAATAGATGGTTTTCAAAGTTTTTTTGGCATCTGTCTTTGTTTTAATACTAGACATCATTGCTGACAGTGAAGTTATTAAAAATGATTTTAGTCAGAATTTGTTCTCTGGTTAAATTGAAAAACTAATTCCTCTCAAAGTTGCTGAAGATCTTTAAAATTGTAAACCTCACATTTAATGCATCCGTCCATCATCTTTACACGCTTCTTCCTTTTTGGGTCACTGGTGTCACTGGTTCCAGCAGTCACTGTGTGAGAGACGGGACACCCTGGACAGGTCCATCATAGAGACAAACAACATATAGATACTTTATTAATCCCAGGGGGGAAATTTGAGGCATCCAGTAGCATTTTCTAATTGTATAGAAAAAAAAACATGAATTAAGAAAATAAGCAGAATACACAAATGTGAAAAAGACAAATATGCACAAACACTAGATGGTAGGGAGTACTACATTCATGATTAACCTGTGTATATGTATACATGCATGCACATCTAAGCATATGTACAGTTGAAACCAGAAGTTTACATACACTATTTAAAAAGACACGTGTACATTTTTTTCACACTGATGTGAAATCAGAATAAACTTTTCCGTTTTAGGTCCATTAGGATTACCAAAATGTTTTCTATTTGCTAAATTACAGAATAATGAGAGTGAGAAAATTTTAAGACAATTTTTATTACTTTCTTCAAAGTCAAAAGTTTAAATACAGGTCCTTCTCAAAAATTAGCATATTGTGATAAAGGTCATTATTTTCCATGATGTAAT